AAAAAACTTCTGAACGACTTTCATTAATCTGTAGCCATCTTTAATATCAACAAATTTACCCGGACCTATAAATATGGCAGTTTTTCAACATAATTATTTGTTCCGTTCCTTTATCCTTTCTGATCAAACTTATCAAACTCTTCACCTTCGGTGACTTTGTCTGTTTTATGGCTGCTCGGCAGTGTCTGTAAACAGTATTGTAGTCAGTCTGTGTTTATAAATACATCACATTTTAATATTGTTATATCTTTTTTGTACATTGAATATTATTCAATTTTTTCCCCATTACTGTTGATATTTTTTCTTCAATAATTATCATTATGTGTATGTATTGTGCTTATTTATGCTTATTCAATGTAAAATTTAGATCTCTGAAAAGTACTTTCAGATTTAATAAACGACCTCATCAATATACAGCAGCAAACCATAAACAGTGTTCCGCTGTAATATATCATTTATACAAAGTATATTTTTTCAACTAAGTAAAAAAGAAATTTTTTTCAACAAATATTTTGAAAAAAAAAGCAGCAGCAGTAGCAATACAATAAAAATTTAAAGAATTTATCACAGCATTAATTGACTGTTATGCTTTTTTTTTCTGGTTTAGTTGAGAACGTCAGAAAAATGAGACTGGCAGAAAAAAAAAAATAAAATCAAGTCAAAATTTTCTAGAAATATAATTCACTTTTACGGTTCAACTTATTTGTCGCATTTTATATGTTACCAATTGACCGATGGTTAATTACATTAGGAAGAAGAAGAGGAAAAAAATTTATGATGAAAAGAAAGGAAAAATACGAAAACGTTTTCTAGCCTTTTTGTTTTTTTTTCTTAACGTTGTTGTTGTTCTTAATAGTTGTTCATTGGAATTAGCACTGTGATAGAAACAAGTTTTAATATGTGTTCATCGATGAAAGATTTGATAAAAAATACCTGACTGCTATAAATAACTGATTGGTCTAATTGACGTGTCAACTGGAAATCTTCAAATCTATCATAGCTATAACTGTACAGAAACGATTACAATTTATGTATTTTTATTCATTCTTCTTTCTTGTTTATCACTTAAGAAGAGTAAACAATGGAAAAAAACAACAAAAAACTGAACATTTTCGAAACATAACACAGAAGTAATTCTGCTGTTGAAAACGATGATTATGGTCGACAAAAATCTGGTGGATTTGGGGCAATTGATGTACCTACACCGTCCGGTAGAGCGACGTCCTTGGAAAGAACTTCAGGGCTCAAACTTGCTACTCGTTCTTCACGATGCTCTGATGTTGGCAACAAATTTCCCCAAAAATCTCGTTGTTTCTTCATAAAATTCTTGATTGAGGTTTCAATTTGCTGCAAAAAAAAGTTGCTTGTCACTGCTCTTCAGGAGAACAGGTTTATTTTGTTGATCTTTCTATAATACACCTACTATAGAGCATTTCGACACAATAAATCCCTTCAGCTTTATCTAGGTTGCTCTGATTAAAATAGCCAACATTTTCCAAACATTTCAAAATTACGTTTTTTTCCTCCAAATTTATAGATCTTAATGTTTTCTAAATTTATCATACAGAAGAATTAACACCTTAACTGTTGTGTAACAGTGAAAGTAGTGAGGAATTCTAGAAAACTGGAAACAGTCAGTATTACCTATTAAAGAATTACATCCAACAAACATTTAGTAATTTCAACTGAATTCTTTGCTAATGACTAGTAAGTATAATGCTCAGCGGGAGAGAAAAAAGCAAAGACTAATTACCTCATAGACTCCTTCTTGCATTTTGATTGACCATTCACTAGATTCTTTCATGTATCTGTCCAAATCTGCCAGTTGAGCTGCACTTAATCTACCTCGATGTACGCCATTGACGTATACTTCGCCATTCTTAAACAGTTGTTTATCAAGTTTCAATCTCTTCTTCAAGCGGTTACTTACACTACTGTTACTAAACAGAAAAAAGAATCACCCGGGGTTTCTCCATTGAGGAAAAAAATTTTTCTAATCTTTTTATTTCTTTGTGTAGGAAGAATGTTTCTAGCAGGTCTTAAATTAACCTGATCTTTATACGATATCTGGCACAACAGCGAAACAATAAGCACTTTGACGGTCAAGCCTGAATTTTGTGCAGATGTATTTAATAATGCCGTTTAATTAACCTTTTCAGTTTTTGCTTTTCAATTTTTAAGATTATTTATGTGACGAAACATGGCTAAAATGTTATGGCAAAGCATTTTAACAACTTACAACATACCGGTTGAACTAAAATTAATTTACCTCTTATGCTTTGCCCTAACTTACTGTGGCATTTTATCAATTTATGCAAAAAAAAAAAGAATGGCAAAGAGAACTTTTAGATAATATGACGGTTTTGTCTTTGCTTTCTCATAGATATATTAGTTGTCAAAACAGTTGTGCATTAATTTATTCACTACTTTTCTTCTTTTGTTTCTTTTTTACACAAATTTTTTAATTGCAATAATTCAGCAACATTATTTATGCTGTACTAAAATCAATTATTACTTTTTTTTTGCTGAAAGTGTGCAAGTGATTCTGCAATACTGTTTTTTTCTTCGTCCTCTTCTCTACTTGAAACATTCGTTTTCGTACTGTTTTTTTCGTTACTTACAACGACTTTTTTTTAAGAGGACTAAGGGATAGGAGGTGGAAAGGAGATGAAAGTGGTGACAAGAAATAGGTTCAGAAATTGAAAAATTAGTTCTGTCGTTCTTCAGCAGTACAATAGATATTTGCAGAAATGTTGCAAGCAAATGCTTTATGCAAAGAATCCTAAAAAGATCTATGCAAAAAAAATGAAAATACAGAGAAGCCAAAACTATAAAATACAGTACTTTTTTACAGCAACTTATTTGACATAAAAATGAGAAAAAAAAAGAAAATAAGATGAAATAAAAATACTGTTATTTTAATTTAATACCAATTATTGCTTCTGATAATTGTCAAATAATCCTTGGTACGACAACTATTTACTATTTCAGTAGAATCAGTTATACGCATATAAAAAGTACCATTACCTTTATAGCAAAAAAAAAGGGAAATTTAAAGATAAATATTTTTTTAAACTTTTTTTGTATAATTGTTAACTATATTGTTTTTTGTTTTTGTTCTTCAACTTCACCTCCTTCTCACCATTAAGTGATTCTACTTAAAAAAAAAAAAAGAAGTTTAGAAAAAAATTTTTTTCTTTTAATACAATATTTCTGAATGTAAATAAGTGGTTAACGGTGTAACACATCACTTTTAAATTCTTGTTATTTTCTACCAAACTTTTTTTTTGGCTTTCTGAAGAAACTGCCAAAAACTGCTAATTAGACCGGAGACCATGTGACTAAAAAACAGCAGCATTTTATTGGTACTGAGAATGTGACTGAAGTGCACAAATTGTAAATAAAAAAAAGGTTACTATTGTTCTATATATTCACTAAATTTTTATACTGGTTTCCGTATTAACCTGCCAAAAAATTCCGTTTTCTAAGATACGAAAAATTGTTCTGCTTCAATTTTAAAATTGGCAAGAGGACAACTGGGGAAGAAAGAGCAAAATATATGGTATGCTAATAAACGGAAAAAGCCATTTTTAGTAAACCATTACACTGGAAACCTGCTTTTCCAATACTATTTCAGAAACCTATCAAGTTGCTGAAATATTCAGTTTTCTGTTCCACAAAACTAGGGGACTCTTGAAGTTCTGTTGTAATGATCTTAAAAGGGTTACACTAAAGGCTAAAGTTTTTGCCGGCAATACGGTACCTAACACTGGTGTAATATTCAGTTCTCTTCGTTCTTTGTTTACTTCGCTAGAAAGGATGATTCCCAGAAGAATCCCCAAAATTGGAACAAAGAGCCTGGGCGATGACATACGGACAATGGCGAAGTGGAGACAAGCTTAGAACTCACCGTCAGATAAAGGCTTAACTGATTCAGCATCCCATCAAGTGAACATTTTTACCATAATTCAAACAGTCATCTCCACAAACACTACTTTTTTCTTTTGCATCTCATCAAAAAATTGGTCCAGCATTTTGCCAGAACTGATCAATTTCAAAATGTTTGTTTATTTTATGCGTCAATGCTTTTTCTCACTTCTCATCTCAGTGTCATTGTATGATAGCGGAAAAAAAAAATTAACTTTGAAAAATTCGGAATAAATTTAAAGCAAAAAAAAACTCCGCAAAATTCTCCTTTTCTGCAAGTCTCTCTTAAGTTTAAGTGTAGTCTAAAACAAACAAAGAGACAAAAAAAAGAGCATTTGATGATTACAGTGTGCAGCATTTGTTTTTTTTTTTTTGATAATGTTAAAATAAAGTATGTGAAAAACAATTTACTGCACGTTTTTTTTCTATAATTCATTTGAATAGATTTTTTTCAGTAAAATTTAAAAGAAAACAATTTTTCTTTGCTTTAAAAGTATGACAACGCTTTCAAATACCCATGACAACATTCAAAGATCATCATATTAAGATGTCATCAATAACTCCCTCTCTCCTGTTTCTCAACAAACATCGCAAAGTAATTTCGCAAAAAAAAAAAAAAAAACACAAAGAAAATAGATCAAAGTTTGATGAGACAAATTTATTTTTTCATTAAAATACATTTGTTACAAATAGTTTAAACCGATTGCCCAAAAATAAAGCCATATTTTTGCAGAAAAACAAAAAAAAAATCTTTTCAAATTTTTTTCTGCCAAATATGTGCATAAAACTCTTTTGAGGTTCTAAAACCTTTTTTTTTTTCACGATGCTTTTTTTTCTTAGAGGCAGTTAACAGTTTATAGAAAATTTTGAATCACAGACCAGTTGTTTGGAGCATATATGTTGGCTATAAGTAGAGCGAAGAAAAAATTATGATAAGCAAAATACTTACTGATACAATACAAGAATTATTCTTGTAGTTAATTATAGCATTATGTTGAGTGCTTGATGCCGAGTAGATGAATTCGCTGCTTACAAACGTGAATAAGGACAAAACAAATACTATGTACAACATGTCTACGAGCCCTGAAAAGAATAGGAAAGATCAAGCAAGAAGTGACAAATCCGTTCGACCGTCATATAGCTGCCAATGATCATAGATTTGCTGATGGTCACACAGTATTCAACATTTTATGCTAGAAAATGCTATATCCGTTTGGCCAAAGCCGACCAGATACTGAGATAATGGCTATGACAACAATGAGTGCTGTCACCACAACCACTGGATTCTTATCGTTAAAGGTGTGCACATATAGGAAGTATGTGGATAACAACAACAACGAAATCAATGACTGGTGATGAATCAGTGAACGGACGTACACGGATGTCGGTACTATGGACTATAAATAGGAACAGATCTTCAACTGCTGTGCACTTAACAGAATTTTGGTTAACCAAACTATTCACTGAAGAAAAAAAAAAGTAGGAAAGAACAGCGTGAAAACAAGTCAGATATTTACTGCGATGCTAAATAAACAGCTAAGCAAACAGCTTCTGATGAAACAAAACAGCAAACAAATGTCTCGTATGATCAAAACAGTGTTTTAATATAGGTGAATTAAACAAAAAAATACTTTTTTTAAAAAAAATAAAAAAAGAAAGATAAAAAGAAATAATTAGTGAAATATCTGAAGCGTAAAACTGCTGTATGATAGACTGCTAAAAGAGACAAGTTCAAAGCAATAATAACAGCAACAACAACAACAAAAAAAAAAAAAAAAAAAAA